CTCTCTGTGCTTGGCCATCCAGCCAGTTTGTTTTAGGCTGTTCTTCATATACCGTGTCCAGCTACATCATCTGTAAATTACCATTTCTCATTAGACGTTTCCAAATTTTTCAAAATTTTTGATCGTGTTAAATTATCCCTCTTTTTGTTCTTGAGCATCTTTCTTTCCTTAATACTTTTGGTTCCCCTGTCCCACCATACTAAAAATAGAGTTTATCTCAGCTGCTGCAGATTGGCAAGCTTTTCCACATCAGGCAAGACAAAACTCGACAAAATCATTCTTTTTCATAGATTGTCATCAACCAAAGATTGCCAGTCAGTGGTTTGTTACAATAAAATGAATCAGAGCAAAAGTTAATTTTATTTTATTAGCTAATCTGATGTTAAGTATTTGTGATCTAAAATGCTGTGTTTGCAGCTGTCTGCTTTCACCCATTAACAGTGTTTCTTAGAGTTTCAAATGATCTCTTTTTCAGTGTTTGATAACACAACAGTGACACCCACTGGCTTACTGGATACTTTTCATGGTTGCACAGGGTTGAAACACAAAGTACACTGTGAAAAATGTTTTCAGCACTTCACTGTGATTTGTGCTTCAGTGAAGTATCACTGGGAACACTAAGCTGGATCATAAGGTACTATGTTCCTGTACTATATTAAATCATAAAGAAGTACAGAATTTTCCAGTAATTTGCAGCATGAACCAGATGCTGACAAAAGTCAAGCACTAAGCATTATGACTGCATTTAATTGGCTCAAAATCTGACTATAAGAAAGAAGTTATTCAATACTGAAAAGATATTATGCGATCTGCTGTTTCTGAGCAAACTGAGAATAAAGTACATGCATTATACCAGTGTGACCCTCACTCATTGTTTAACCCACAGTCACAGAAAAAAATGCTCTATTAAGGACAAGAGAGTGGATTTAATGCCAAGTTGTGGGCTTTCTCAGGTTTATCTCATCTTGATAAATTTAATACTTGGAAGGTTTAATTTGGAGCCTTAACTTAGAGTGAAATTTATTTTGGTCCCAGTCCTACACAGTTACAATGGAGGAGTGGAAGCTTCCCAGAATGGACTTCCCTACAAGCCCTGAAAGCTGTGGCCTTGCTGTGTAATAGACCTGCTCTTCCAAAAGGGGAGAGGGCATGGGTGGAGCTTAGAGGAGCAGCAGATGCTCCCACCTCACTAAGCAAATTACAAAAGAAAACATCTGTCTGCAAATGCCTTTGTGCACACTCCTCTCTTGCCCCCAAACTGCTCTGCTTTCCTCCCTCTCTCTATTCTGCTGCTGGTTAAATGAGAAAGACTGGTTACAACCCAGAGTCTAGTGCAGAATGAAAAAGGGCACTGTATTGTTTACCTGCAATCGGATTCTGTGGAGTTGGTGGGCATTTTAATTTCTGTTCTTGTGAACTGAAGGTAAATGCATTTCACACATCACTGGTACATCTACATAGCCTGTAATATTGGGTACTGTTCTAATTGAGGGCAGTAATTTGACTTCTTTTGACTTTTTCAAGAATTAGAAGCAAGACATAATTCACTCTTAATAGCGTGAACCATTTTTTTTTCCAATTAAGGCTCCTTTAGAACATTGTGCCTTCAGAGAATTAAGTGCTCGGGACACTCTAAAAATCAGGTGCCTTAGTGTGTCTTTTGGTGTCTTTGGCAACCGAAAAAGTAATTCCAAATAACCCTGGCCATTGCCTTTTCCAAACTATATTAAATGCTTTACTTCATTATTCTGAAGTATTTGCAGTCTTAGTCTTAGGAAGCATACTTAATTTAAAAAAATATAGTCTTGTTTTGTCAAAATTCAGTTTCTTACTGCAGGTCAAGCCCAGGATATGCTAAAACAACAGACCATAGTCTTGGCATGGGTAGCTCCTGACCTAGACAATTAAAAAGGCATTGAAATCCTAAAGGAATTTATTGGCATCAGATGGCAGAGCAGGCATAATATTCTGTTCATTTTAACTGAGCTAATTTGTCGTTTCCACATGAGCATGACTACCTTCATCCTCTTTATTTGTACAGCTGTCCTGAGACTGTAATGCTGTGGTAGTCACATTGGATGGGCACAAATAATAGATGTGATAATAGATGTTATGACATGGTATCAGTTTGGTCTTAACAGAGCTCCCAGTCATTATCAGTCTTTGAGCTGAAAGAAAGAGAGACAATCCACCAGCTTCACATGGCATGCTAAAGTTGTATCAGCTGTCAAACCTATTGTGAATTCTGGATTCAGTGACTCTGTTTTATGACTTCACCACCTCCTACTGGAGACATAAACTGTGGAGCCAGTTAAATTCTCAGAGTAGCAACTAACGAAGACATTTTATCAGCCTAAAGGACTGCAAGTCCTGGAAGTGTTTATTGGTTAATTATGGTGGATAACTACCATAGAATTCATGCAGAATCAATGATAATGACATAAATTTGTACTTTTTTTCTGAGTACTGTCAAAATCATGTTTCTTCAACTGTCCAAAGGATAGAACATGATTTGAAAATTTTCTCTTTCAGCTCTTGAATGCAGAGCATGTACACTATGAATTAAAAACATTAAAGTTGCTGCAGAAACTTGTTGTCAACAAAATGCATTGTTAAGATAAAGGCATTAGAGCATTAGCGAGAAGTAGCTTACGCCCTTTTTTCCCTGCTGTTGAATGTTGCATTTTACATGGTAACAGCTAGTTCAGTGTACTAAAAAAGTACTGCTTCCAGTAGTACTGGAATTCCAATAATTCAAACGGTTGTATTTTACTATATTATTAGTCTCATTCATTTACTTTTCTTATACTCAAAATTAAGCTTTAATTAAAATGGTTGTCCAGTCTTTCTTTAAATCAAGTACTTAAATGGTGTAATAACTGCTTTAAGAGTACTTTAATGAATAAATTCAGTTTTACAACAGAGGATGTGCCAATAGACAGGCTGCAATTGTTCATGCAAGCAAATACTGTCGTTAAACACCAGAATCTTGACTGTCCATTCATTGTTAACAAGGGTACAGAATCAGCAGATTTTAATACTAGTATCCCTTAATTTGTGTAATATTTTACACTGCTCAAGTTACGGTATCAAGAAAATTGTAACTGTTGCTGAAGACAACATGCTGGTTCTGCCCTGGAATTTTTGCTAGTGACTTCACTGGAAGCAGAATCAAAGTTTAGTAAGTGGAGCCAGTAAAGTCAAATGGAAAATGAGTTGTATGAGGGCGCTTTTTCAGGTAGTCCTTATTTGTAAGTGTAGGACTTCTTTTCCTAACCTCTGGACTACATTCCTATTCATAGCTTCAAGGTCAGTGATGATCCAGTCTTGCTTCCAGTACAGCATAAGCCTGTAGTATATTCCTGTTCCAAGGATATAGTAAGTTACCTCCTCGCTACTGTTTCTTTGCTGATTTTATTGGATTATGTATACTACACATTTCTTCACTTCATGTCCAACTGTCAAATCACATCGATTTTACTGACATTTTGAAAAAGACAAATAGAGGGTAAATGTGAAGAGATTTAGGGCCCTGCTTGCAATTCACAAGATGAGATTTTGTTCAGACAGATTCAGTCTGTTGAAACGTTTACACTGAGAAGCAAGCAATACAGTTGTTCTGTTGTTTCAACATAATTTGACTCCTGAAGCTAACATACCTGCTTACAATCACCTTTTATTTTGTTTTCCTTCAATCTATTCATAGAAATAAATGTATGATCTGTTATTTCTGTGAATGGAGGTTGTACTGAAATATCCTTTACTGCCCTGGAGTGGTCTTAGAGCCATATGCTTTTCTTGGGAATGCATGGGGCTCTATTTTGCTCTCTTTTTTGATAATGTGGTATAATTGATGAATTCTGAAAAGAAAGCAAAACAATCTTCATTTGGGAAACAAACCAAGTTATAGCTAAACAAAGATAATGATGCAGAATGAAAAAGCTGAGTAAATATGTGTAATATGTAAATATGTAGATTTTGTAGGGTGAAAGTGTAGACAGCTCACATGTAAAGTCTTATTAGAAATCTTGCTTTATTCAGCACTTTGAATCTATGATTTGTTTAGCAGCACAGAGCAAAAACTGCAACAAATCCAGTACAACTCCAAACCAATGCTATAGATTGAGAAATGCAGTTGGCATGGGAAGTATTTTTAGTTCAGGAGAATATATATTACCTTGGAAAAGTTAGTAGGAATGCATGGAGATGGTCTGTATGTTGGCTAATAGCTATAATTTTTTTCTGCAGGAAACTTCACAACTTTTAAATAAGACATTAAGATCTGAAAGTGATGATGGAAGGTATATGAGCTAGAAATACCTAAGACAAGTAGGATATAATACAACTTAAAAGAAAGAGGGAACTCCCTTGATTTGTTCTAATTGTCTAATTTTAGACAAAGTCTCTTTGTCTAAAATGAGCCATCACTTCTCTGGTAGCAAAAATGTGATCCTCAGTGGAGTCTGATGTTTGCGGAAGGCGGTACTTACATTGGTAGAACCAGGAAGGGTTGCAGTTTATCCCAAGCATCTCAGAGAGGTGGTGCTGGAGACCTGATGAAGGTGAAAAGGAATTATCACCTTGAGCAAATTGTTAAATTTGAAGGTCATGTTCCTATAGCATCTAACATGTGGAACAGATCTGCAGGCTGTACAGCAAGCTGTTCTGAACCATGAGTATGTATGCATTGTAAGCCATGCTTTATCCTTACAGTCATCTCCAAAATGCTGCCTACTGTGAGGTTTACAGGAGTCATTTGCTTCTTTGGAATCTTTTCAGGGTCAGCCTGGTGAGCTGGGAGCTCAAGGTCCGATTGGGTCCTTAGGATCTACAGGACCAGCTGGTCTGCCAGGGGAAAAAGGACAGAGAGGTGAGAACGGGCAGCCTGGGCCAGCTGGAGAAAAAGGTGATAAGGTAGGAAACACCATCGACAGCTCTTGTAGATGTATACAGTATGTAATGTTAAATATTGGCAAGGGAAACAGAACCTGAATGAACAAAAAGCATTTGCCAAACTATACACTTGCTCACACAAAATTCTCACTGAAATCAATTACAGCTTTATTTGAAAAAATGTTTCAGGGGATTTTTGCTGTGAATTGCAAAATTAGAATTGTCAGAAGACATAAAGTGAAAAAGACCCAGTCTCTGATTGTTATATGCTATGTCATTCTCCTTGACCTCGAAGAGGGCTGTCAGGGGAATGTGGAGCTGGAGGGAGGAGTATGATACTTTTAAAAGTGCTTTACACTAACCAGAATTTTATTACCACTTTTGGAGTATAAATTGCAGTTCAGGTCCTGTACAGTCCTTCATAGCTGTACAATGCCTGTGCTTGGCTTTTGGTACTTTATATTACTTTTAATTGTCTAATTCCACTGATCTCAGTGGATGACTGAAATCAATAATGTCAGTATCTAGCACACCTGAAATATAAGCCCTATAAATAGAAATCATGCTGCTGGTATTATCAAAACAGGAGCAGGGTTCTGTATTTACGTGCAGAATTGTAAGTTACAGGCAACTTCCCCTTCTCTGTCATTTTATAATCTTTGAGAACAAATGAGTATGAGTTAGACATCTGTCCTGTACTGTACCATCTGTTACATGGGTAGCTATTGGCAAGAGTCTCCTGCTAAGCCCATGTAACATTTTTCAGATATTTATTTCTGACAGTTATGACTTTTGACTCATATTTAAAGCAAGACTGATTCTTGTTTCTTGCTATATAGTATCACATATTCTTTTTCATTCTTTGTTAATGACCCCAGCAACTTTGTTTTCTCATGTCATCTGTTTTTAGGGCCCAACTGGAGTCCCAGGATTTCCCGGTTTAGATGGCGTTCCTGTACGTATTGAATGAATATTGCTTTATAAAAATTACAGTTTCTATAAAGCTGTAGCAAGTCCTCTAACAGAATAATACACTCAAATTGTTTGGTTTTATACCTATTGATTTCATGCCACTACAGAACTACATGTTTTGCAGAAATGTAAAATAGCCAGGTTAACTTCAACTTTGTTTACTATTGATAACAAACTCCACAAAATCCCAGTGAGGTAAGTACACAGCTTTCATGCAGAAGTGGGGCAGTGAAGGTAGACACTAGCCCATGTCCACGTAACATGTTTCAGTGCTAGGATTAAAAACAGTGAGTTTATTTTCCTCAGGCCCTATAGCAGGCTGTAGTTTGCTTGCTGAATTCTTAACATCTCTGAAGGTATCGTGAATTATGTACTGTTTTCTGTCCAAATGTTCTGATTTTTGCTTGCAGTCCTTTTGCAGGAAAAAAACCAACCACTGAGTCCAGTAATTTTAATCTGAATAGAGACTGAAGAAGGAAAATGGGTCCTAAATGTATCTTTATGAGCATGTGATTATATATTTTTCTGAATTTCTTCAGTATGGAAGTGAGTGTGGTAAAAAAGAAAGATAATATCTCTTAAATACAGTATTTGAAAAATGCCGTTTATTAGAACTGAATTCCTATGCTGTTATAAGTTTCATATGGATCGAACAAAGTTAAAATGTTGAATTTTGAAAGGGAACACAGAACCAGAAACTGAGTGGATGTCTTAGCATCTGCTTATCAGCTGTCCACACCTGATAATTGGATTGTTGCCACAATGTCTGCATAATGTAGAGATCACAAAGCCAAAATTTAGCACAAAAAAGATATACTCCCAAGAAATGTATATTCTTCTTATGAAAAATGTTAATTTAAAAAACAGTGCCAAAAAATTGGGATGAATAGCCTTATAGAGAGGAAGAAGATAAAACTGACAAAAAATCTTGTAGTCAAAATTACTATTTGTTCCTTACAAAAATGTTTAATTCTGTGAAAATATGTTTTCCTCCAATGGAAAGATCATTCCAAGGGAAATCTCACTGTTGGTGTTGCCTAGTGTCTAATTTGCAGTAGGTCTAACCCCTGTCTGGACATCTTTTAGTTCTTGTTAGGTTAGAAAATGACTTCCTTAGTTCTTGGACATATAGTCATAATCTCGGCAATTGCTGTATGTTTGAGTCAAGCTGTGTCCTGGTTTTCCTCGTTTTACCCTATCAGTTAAAAAACATGAGGCTGCTTGAGAAGACTTTTGTGTATTTCTTCAGCTTTTCTTTACAGCCACAAGAAAGATTGTCGTTAGAGGGCTAAAGCTTTCCCTGAGAAGATAGCACATTACTTTTTTACTCAAGTGAGAGCTCAGTCTGGCTTTCTTAACCGGGGCTGTCCCTGTTATATTTGCTCTGCATCAAAGAACAAAATACAAAATACTTACATCATTTGTGATACACACAGACACACACACAAAATCTATTGATCACAGTAGAAAACATTTCTAGTGCAAACATTTTTAATACAAAGTTGATAACACTGTGAAATGTCCTGTTTCGTATCTGAGATACTTGTTTCTGTATTGTTCTGTTAATTTAAAAAGTAGTTCTCTATTTATCATAGTGTCTCTCTAAGAAATATTAAACTGTCTTTCAGGGATTACCAGGACGCGAAGGACCCAGGGGCAAGCCTGGTTTAGATGGCTGCAATGGCTCAAGAGGAGATCCAGGATTTCCAGGCGAAAATGGCTATAGTGGACCAAGAGGTCCTTATGTATGTGAAAGGCATTCCTACTGTCTATGAATACTGTATACGTACACTTGCCCTCCAAGTTAACAGCTCTTAAAATGAAAGGAGTTTTAGGCTATGGCACCAGGTTTACACTGCACAATGAATTTGCAGGCACTCTTATTAAGGTTAATGGGAGTGAAGGACACTTGGTGCCTTAATAGATTAAATTTAAACTTGAATGTGAAATAAGCTCCTAGATCTTTAAAGTATATGTGTCTGCCTTGAGAGTTAAATTCTGCTTTATTTCCTCAGTATGTAACCGCACCAAAGCTAATACCATTTCATGGAAGTACAACTGCGGAGTAGCTTGAAATGACCATACCATTTATCAATACTTAAAATTTCTTAAAAGCCTTAATAGTAGGGACATACCTGAGATGAATTAGCAATAAGTGGAAGCTTCAACAGTCTAAGTCCTGTAACACTTGAGGATTTTTAGTGGTTCATCACACAAGTGTATTAGTAGAGCTCTTCCAAAATCATGCTCTTAGTTTCACGTGCCACTTTTTACACATATTGATTCATGACTGCTCTGTGTACACATAGTCTTGCCTGAGTGTCTGTATACCTAGAGATTATTTCATTTAAAATGTTTAAAATTAGCACTTTATTACTGCTTACTTTTGCTCTTGAAATGTAAAGCACGTGAAAATAGTTTAAATAGTTGCATTAGCACTGCTCTTCTAATGAAGATAGAACACATTCATGCCAGTAAGGGATATAAATTACTGTAGCTCAAAAGAAATTTTGGCGAACAGATCTAATCCCCAGTCTCTGACTTTCTGTGGAAACAAGTTTTAGTTCTGAATTATTACTAGCTGGTAAGTTGGTCTAAGATCTTCCCTGAAATTTTCTAAACAGTAAGAACAACTGCAATTTACATGATAAGTCTAATGTGTTTAGTAGGCACTAAATAAGATGCTGATTCAGCCGTATGGAATCAAAAAATATCCAGTGGGTGCCAGAATGAAAATATGTTATCACAGAAACAGCAATTAGAAGAAAACCAGACAATTTAAATCTTGGACCTGTAACAGATGCTATGAAATACACAACCTGATAAAAAAACTTGATAATAACCTCATTTATTATCAAAAATAACCCCTTAACCTTCAAAATGGTGAAATCTTCTGCTCAAACTCTAATTTTACCTGTACTTTCTTACTTATTATGGCTCTCAAAATAGAGATTTGCCTTTTATAATTTGCCAGATAACATAAAGGAAAAATGAGACAGGACAAATTACAGCATAACTCCTCCCAGTTCCAGCAGCATGCACTTTGGCAGCCCTAGAAAAGTATTTGCAACCTACAAAGACACAGTAAGCATGTAGCCTTGGATATGCACACTAAAATTCCAGTGCAAATTAGTTTAGCTACCCAGAAAAACAAGATGTAGTAACCATATTTGCTTGTGTACAGGAATGCTATTCCAACTTCTCTATGCTATTTTTAAATCAATTTGTTGCACCAAGTACCAAGTTGACTTACATTTTTCTTATTCTTATTTATAACGTTGTGCCATGTAATTTTACTGAACACTATATATCTATTCATTAGCTTTACTTCTGTTACTTTGTAGAATCTGTACATTTACCTCACCAATAAATTGAAAGGGAAAGTCGTTTCTATTTGTAAACCCTTGTCTAAATCATGTAGAAGGTAACAAACTGAATCTAATAAAGATGTTTTATTACATGAGATCACATGTAAAAAAAACAAAGGTAGTTATAACTTTTGATATGTTTAATGTGTTCCCTAGCAGCTGCTGTTTGATGTGCAATCTGCGTCCAGTCTACTGTAGCTATATCCAGCTGCAGACAGCTGTAACTCTTCTTTTCATTGTGTCATTCCAGGGATAAGTACTTCCACTGTTTCATTCTGACTTCGGGATTTGAGCAGCCAGTGTATAATATTATCAGGAAACCAGTACAGTTTTAAAGTGGTTAAATTATATGAAAAACAGTATCCCATTTTATTGAAATCAGTAGTTAAGTGGTTAACTTAGTTAAATTATATCCAGTATATTTGGATTTCAAATGAGGAAACTTTAGAAATAATATCTTAATATATCTGTTCTTCAGATATGTACATATCATGGTCTTAACAGTCAATTGAGCATTACAGTTATATTTTGCAAAAGCAGTCATATGTTCCTGCTAAGCAGATTGTGGTTTTGAGGGTGCTGAGATTGGCAAAGATTTATAAAGGACTCCACAGCAAGTACCATGAGAACTTAGTTTTTTTAAAAGCTGAGTCTTTAGACATCAGATGTATTGTTTTTAACACTGATTCACTGAAAGAAAAGGTAGGCATATTGATAAACTTGATATGAAAGGCAATATTTGTGAAGACTGTAGAATATTGAAGTTCCCAAGAGCTAAGTAGCATCTAACAGAGCTGTCAGATGCTGTAAGGAGCTGTTTTGCTCAAGTGTACAGAAGGCGATTTTACCCTTAAGAGTCTTGGTAGGTAAAAGAACTGCAAAATGCTCATGCAGTAATGGTGGTTCTAGTGGATTACCTAGTGATGTATGGGCACCAGAAAAGCACAGCCTGAGAAGCTATCATTCAATCTCCATATAAATGTAGGGTATCAGTAAGTGGATCATGTTCTGAAATACTTTTTTTCTTTAAAGGGCAATCCAGGACAAAAAGGAGAAAAAGGAAATTCAGTGTATGTTTCACATTTTGGAAGAGGACCTCCAGTAAGTATCTGATTGTGAAAGAAATTTTATGGTATACAAAAACATGTATGAAAAATGTAATTATTCTTAGAACTCCTCACTGTTTAATAAAGCGTGGTGCAAAAAAAAAAAAGACAAGATTAAAAGCAAATATACAACTGGAACAGATAGCTTGTGATCTTAATAGCTATAAAGTCAGAAAATACCCACCACAAAGCTTGTAAATGATTGTCATTACAGGGAGACAGAGGGGATCCTGGCCCACCTGGCATGCCCGTAAGTACAATCTGTGGATTCTATACATGCTCTTTGTCTTGAAGATCTTTCAAATTTTCCTTCTTAGTACAGTAAAAAAAATACTGAGTTTTCTCCCTGCCTGCCTTAAATAGCGAAGTTCCAGAATAAAGCCTAACAAACACTGAGTCCTGATAGTCTGTCCTCTTGACCAGTTCATGCTGGCTGAAAAGGAGCAGAAACAGACCATACCCATCTGCATTAGCTGTGGATAGAGCACTTGTCACCTCAGTACTCACTGTCTGCAGAATATTTTCTCTGCGAAATTAGAGATGTGTAGAGATGGGACACCTTCTTCAACAGTGTCTGGTGGATCACCTGAGAACTTGTAGCACACTACCATATTTTGGCCATAAAACATGAGAGTTTTACTTTGTTGCTGACTCACACTCTTAATGGCCTTGGGTTCCTCCTCTTACGCCCTTGAGAATATAATTCACTGATGAACTGTATCAAGTTCCAACACTGTAGCACAATTACTGACAAAGTATTCTTTCAATCTGTTAATAACCTATAACTGTGCATTGCCAGTGTCTGTACAGTATTATCCAGAACCTGGTGCTGAGCTGCTCTAGTATCAGGGAGGTTTCAGGCATAGTATAAGCTTTAGGCCATGAGTGGAATGCAGTTACCAGTAGACTAAATCGCAAGTGATGCAGGCATTTTAGAGGGACTGGTATTGTGGAGGAAAGGGTAAGCTCTTGGTATTTTTCACAAACAGGCCTTTTGCCATCTTTTCCAGGGACCTAGAGGGGCAAGAGGTGCAACGGGTCCATCTGGATACCCAGGCCAACCAGGTTTGCCGGTAGGATCACCGCAGTTGTACAGCCCTGCATTTTCAAGATACACAGAAATTCTGGTCTACCACTTTTAGAACTTGGCTTAATGTGAATCAAAGCCTAGAAATTATTTTTGAGGCATATGATAAGAAGAGATTTTTGCCTTACCTTTTGAGTTTTGAAGTTCAAGAATTGGAGGATATGTTGTTCCTTCCAATGCCTGCGTGAGCACATTTCACTTTGGCAGTCTGAGGTCATGGAGGAATGCTCTTATTATTCCCTTTCCCCAGGGCCACTTTATGGGAGACACAAAGTGTAAAGCTAGAGTTCAGCACTCCTGAAATCAGCGACCATGTGAAGTAAATTGCACTTTGGGATAGGTACATCCCAAGAGGAAATTCTGCTTCTAGGTGCTACTGGCAAGAGGAGATAATTTTCAAAGCAAAGCTTTTTCTATATCAGACACATTAACTTGTCTTCATTCTCTTTTAAAGGGTATTCAAGGTTACCCTGGTTTGCCAGGTGAACAGGTAAGCAATGGCTTTTCCTGAAGTTGTTAGTGAATTAATAGAGTAATTGATACAAATATTTGAAATGTCCCATATAGTTATTTGCTACCAAGTTTTTCAAAGGAGTTACTTGATTAAATTCTAATGTCAGCATTTTCTGATTATCTTCAAACTGTGTACATTTTTGTCAATTAGGGAAATCCAGGTATTGGAGTGGACGGACAAAAGGGGGAGCCGGTAAGAAAACAAATATTATTAAAAAAAACAAATATTATCAAATGTATTGTTGTGTCTGTAGAATTAGAAGTATAATAGAGTCATGTTGGGTTCCCTGGAACCCATTCATTTGTGGCTGTGTGTTCCCACTAATCACATTAGAATGGAAGGAGATGTAATGTAAGTTACTGAATCAATTAACTCTGTGCAGAAGTGATTTTCTTCAGGGAGGTGCATACAGGAGTAAAGCATATTCTGAGGGTTTTGAAAATCAATCAGTATGTTAGTTAGCATTTGCATAGCAATTATCTTCTGTACAGACAGAATACCCTGTCGCAACAGTAACCTCTAGTAACAGTGGCTGTACCAGATTAGTCACTGAATCTCATCTCTTGCTAAGTCCAGCAACAGATGCCAAGGAAAGGGTGTAAGAAAAGGACAAGCACATAATTATAGTTCCTCTCCCTGTCCCAACCTATTAGCGTTCTCAGTACTTACAGAACCAATGCGATTTTTCCCTATGAATTTGTCTACTCACTTCTTAAAAACTGTGCAAGTTTCTAATGTTCACAACTTTCCATAGCAAATCAGTATTTTCCTCTTTATGTTCACAAAGCCTTGTGCTCAAAGGCTTCGGTCTGGAACATGGAAGACTGTAGGTACACGAGATTTGACAATTCCAGAACTGTCTCCACAGCAGACTTGGAGCAGGAGCCAGGAGTACAGAGTTCTCATTTATTTCCTTAGCCATAACATTATTTTTAAATGACTGAGGAGAATAGGGTGGGACTAAGATTTTCAACTTTGTTCATCTGGGAAGATGGTAGGGAGACTTACAGATCTCAGAACAAACCTTTATTTACAGATATGAGTAAAAGTACATGTTCAATGAGTACAGAAATATGCAGTGCTCTAGTACAACAGGAAAACACTCCAAGTCTCACTGAAACCCTGCATGGAACAGAATGTCTCTGTGTCGTTTCTTTGACTTCCACAGGGTGATGTTGGACTTCCTGGGCCACCTGGGTCACCACTATTAGTTGGACCTCCTGGAGCTCAGCTGCTGAAAGGAGAAAAGGTGTTAATTTGTCTTCATTTTAACTGTGCTCAACTTTGCAAGTACAATCCTGTGATATAATTTTTGCAAGGATGGCATAGAACAAATCTTTCTTTCTGTAATAAACTGTCAGCTTGAGGAGAAATCCTGTTGTTCAGCACCCTTCCTACAGGCTTTTAGGAGGGGAAAGCCCATGTGCGCTTTAGCTCATGTGCTTGAGGGAAGACTGTCTTCATGCAGAAAGGAGATTCTGCCCTTGCTTTGGTTTTCTTCATTTTTTGTCATTAGCAAATCATATTTCTGGCATCTCAGTTAAAGTTGGATACTCTGGAATTGAATCTCTTGTGGCTTTTCATTAACACTTTTATTTTTCAGATCTTTGGTAATTACTTTATTTGAAGTGTAGTGTTTTGAACTATCAACCCTAGCCCTTCTAGGATGCTCTTTTAATATGAAAATTAAGTGTGATTTTGATGTCTATTTTTAATCCAATTTCATATTTATTATACTTCTTCTATATCATACCTACCGTAGCCACAGTTGCATACCTTAAAACATTAGAATGTTTAAAAGAACAGGAGTTACAAAAAATGCATTATGGAGCCCTAATATTGGAGTCTCTGTGTCCTCAAGTCTGATTTGCTCAAATACACAAATGAAAAGGTGAATTTGGCATTGCCAGCCCCTGCAAGGCCTCAACTAAGGGAATCTGTAGTTTTCATATATTTGATCTCAGGCTTCGATTATGCAAGTGGTTGCTACTTACAGATGTATGAGGAAGAGAGAAAGAACCAAAAGAACTTGCATAAACTCCCCATGTTACTGCAAAGTGTGACGCCTGCTGTGCAACACACAACATGATCATGACCAATCATCCCATTCAGATTGGGGCTGTGCACAAAAGTGTACATTTATGCATGTGAATACTTGCATCAAACTAAATGGAGCAGCAAACAAAAAAGAACTACTGTCATGCATGTTTGTAGTAACAAAGCCCCAATTAGCAGGTCTCTGCAAGTGAAAAGATACATCTATCTCACTCCATAGTAATTATGTTGGTTTGACAGTGTTAACAGAAAAAAACCCACAGTACGTAATTGTTTTTCTTCTGCCTATTACACATAGAGGAACAGGCTCAGTGCTTAAGAAAATACTATTTGACAGTTGTAACTCAGAACAGGACTTAAAAATAGTTAAACAGTACATAGGCATGTCCTGAGTATTAACTTACATAAAAACCTTCCTTGTGTATGTAGGGCCAGAAAGGACTACCTGGGATAACAGGATATAGAGGGCCACGTGGACCCAAAGTAAGTAATGTGGTTTTGGTTGTTTTTCATGGTGCTGACAAAGTCCTTCTGTGATTATTAAGTTAATCTTTTAAAGCACAAGGTCATTAAAGAAATAACAGCATTTGTGCTGAGAAATTTAATCACCACCTAAATCAGAGTGAAAGCAAAATTATTTCAAAACCCTTTCTAAAACCAGAGTCTGTTTTATATGTACTTGTTGGATGTTGCCTGGTAGTGAAAGGTTAGTGTTGTTTCCAGTTGGACTACTGACACATAATGAACTGGGACTGTGGAGTCAATAGAAGCACAGATTATTTTTTCTCAAAAAGAGAAACAGAGAATATCTGTATGTGGTCTTAAAGGTGCATGATGTATGTTTCCCTAAATATGTTAGGGAAAGGCTTTAACTTCACATTATAGATGCACTCAAGAGTAGAGAGGGCAGAGCCACCTGTTTGGAGAAAGTGTTGCTCTTTGCTATCTCTTCTACAATTTAGTTTATTTCTTTCAGCATGATTAATTTAAACATTGGTGTGCCATTAAGGAGTTCCTGGATGCTGAGCAGAAGCAGCCACAAAAAGATCCTGGAGTCTTTGTTGCTGATAGATTTGGAGGAGGAAAATCCATAGGCAGGAAACTACCAGATCTCAGAAAAACAGAAAACTGGGGACAAAAGCATGAGTCTAGTTTATGTTAAAAACTTATTTAGCTTTGTAGGCAGAAGAGAAGAAATGAGAAGCCTGAACATATATCTAGCACTTTTTCAGAAATTCATTTTCCATCATAAAAGGACTATTAATTAGCACTGGAAAAGGAGACAAAACTGATATTTTCATATCAGATTTACTTTGAAAAAGATGGGCTTTATATGTTTGCTCCAGAGCTAGCTGTCCATGTAGAATATAGTACACTGGTTAGTTATAAGCAGGAACTGATGCAGCCCAAAAGATGCCCAGAGCTTTTTTTAAAAAAGCTTCTGAAAGCACATTAATCTTGGAGAAGAGACCATAGCAAGTTCCTTGAGTAACTGAAGCTACACAGGCACTGCTGGTGGTGCTGTATTAAGTACGCCCCAGTGATTGAGCCTTGCAAGTGAAACAAGATCCGTTCACCTAATATATACATAACTTAATAAATGTGCAAAAAAAAAAAGAGGCTAACTTTACTGAGCATCTTGTTTAAACAAAGTATTTTGAATACTTCAGGGTATACTTGGAAGAGGAGAAAAGGGTGAAAAAGGTATTCCTGGATTCCCTGGATTGCAGGTAAGGAAGCTGCGGAATAAATTACTCCACAGATTCACTATAATGAGGTTCACAATATATTTGGCAGTTTAAGTTTGTGTTTCCAAGGAATATTTTAAGGCTTTTTTTAAACTAATTTGTCGTGCATCTACAATCCTAGAATGTTTAGGAGTCTTGTCCTGGGACTCACCCTGTCTTGGACTTAAACATAAGCTCATACAGACTTTCTGTCCTTGGAAAGAATGTACATCTGTAGGGTTATCCTCTAAATATTTAGAGCTACACAAAGCTGCTCTGGAGTAGCACAGTACTAAAACACTAATTCTAATGTATTCCATACATGCTGTTGGCAATTTTTTACAGTAGCTTGTGCTTGATTTGTGTAACAGTGCTCCCATAGAGCAACATTTCTACTGCTGTGCTTGGTACAATATGATAAAAAAATTAAGTGAAGACCTGTCCGGTTTACTTTGGTCTATAGTTCAAATTAATGCCCGGCTCTTATATAAAGTAATTGCAAAAACTTTGCAAAGTTTTTGGGAAATACCCCAAGTAACAATTACATAAGGAATACTAACTGCTCAGCAACTCCGAATAGGTGTAATTTTGAGTAAGTTTTTACTGTTTTAGCCCACATTCTACTTGCTTTTATCAGGGTAATCCTGGTTCTTACGGACCTGCAGGTTTTCCTGGAATGAAGGTAAGAAGAAAAAGTATAAGCAGCTCCCTTAACAGTGGGATCAGTGAGATTTGTTTTTTTGTGGGTTTGTGCAGATTTGGAATTTTTGCATACTTGATCACTCACATTGCATTGCTTACTTTTTCTCCTTCTACTTGTTGCCACAGAAATTTTATGAACTTTTTGTCTTTGAATTTCTGCCACTCTCTGAAATTTGGCTGAAATTGGCTAATGAGATCTGAAGTTGCAAGCAGGAGGAAAAGCCAGTGAGACATGCGTGTAGCATGACAGAAGAGTTATGCAGTATGTTAACTTTATTTGCCATGGTGACATTGTTTGTGTAATATGTATGTTTTGTACATCTTTCTGGCTCAAGATACTGAAGTTTTGCTGCTAAGTCTGCTAACTGTTAATTATGAACTTAAAACATCTTACTTGAGTGAAGAACCAATTTATAAATATAGATCTACATCTTCCCCTGTTACCTAGTTCTTCCCCCCAGCTCATTTTGAAATCTAGCTAAGGTAATGGTCACACTATTTATAAATCACATTGATGTACAGCTATTTGCATCGAGAGTTATGTTCCAGGTGATTGTTTTGTCTGAAAAATTACTTTTTACTTTATTTTTTTTACCACTGCCTACCTACTCTTTAGTTTGAAAACTGGATGAATGAGTATATTAGTAGATCATAAAAGGAGAAGAGGAACTGATACGCAACTGCTATCCATGCAATAATTGTTAAAGAGGGTCATTCAGCAAGGAGAAAAATAATGTCAGCTATATTACGCAGACAGTCCATTGGAGTCTGCTGATATGTATTCCAGCTAGTTCTGTGCGCCAGCTACACTGAATCTGCTGACCACTGTCTAAATAACTTGGCGATACATGTTGTGTTTTGTTGGGTTTTTTTTAAGAGAAGAGAGAACTCTGTATGAAACATACCATCTCTTGTACAGACCCAATGAATTTTCTGAAACAAACTGTGGATACTATTATAACATGACAGTTTTGTATGACTGCTTTGCTCATTTTTTGTTCAGTTAATTATATTGATGTCTTAACAGATTCATCAAATTCTATTTATGTGATCCTTTTCAGGGGGAAACAGGATTTGCTGGTTTTCCTGGACAACCTGGCTATCCAGGCATACAGGTAAAAACACTCAACACACAGGCATGCATGCACATGTGCGCGCGCGCGCACACACACACTCACACACACACACACGCACACTCTCACACGCACACACTCTCTCCCTTACGTAAATGATAATGATTTCTCCCAAAGGTACCTGCTTATCAGACCATTTGCTTTTATACAGTCATAATTACTTTTAAGATCTACTGTTTTCACATCATGGTAGTAAATAACAATGTAAGTAAACGTTCCTGCTTGGTGCATATGAGAGTGGGAATTCCGTTTTGCATGCCATAGGAATTAGTTAATCACAATTGCCAGTAGTTACCTTTAACTATACCAGTATAGCCATCTAATCCATGAGCTGTAGTACTCTGCAAGTTATTCATGGTTGAGCTGCATTTCCCAGAGAGGTATGCTAGGTAAAGGAACCTGCTATTTAGGTAACAGTACGATCCTATAAACTTTGGTCTATGAACTAGTATGATAATAAGCACCAAATGAGATGGCCAAATTTGATTCAGATGGGCTTGTTTGCATGACTTACCAAAATCTCTTTGCATGTGTTCAACCTGTTCACATAAGTAGCTTTTCCAAGATGCTTACCAGAATGGAAATTGGACTCCCCTTCACGCCAGCTTTGTTTAAACATTTCCTACTTTTGCTCACTTAGATGATACTAGCCATTTTTATTTTACAATACAGGCTGCCTTCTATTAGGGATTAGAAGTGTAGGTGTCACATTCGGGGAGCTAAGCAGTGAAAGAGGAGAATATTCATCTGAAAAGCATTGAATTGATGCTTAATACAATTTAAGAAGACTCAGGTACCAGTCTAGTGACATTCAGGATAAAAATTTATGGAATTCTCTTCTGCAGGCTGCAGCACTGATGATCATATTGTAATTCTGACTACTGGATCATCTTGTAATTCTAACAACAAAACTGAATAAAGGGAGCTATTATACTTTGTATGGAATCTGCAATGCTAAAGCATATTCAGAATGAAAAACCAGTTCTGGATGCTACTCTAGAAGGAGAAATCAGCAGTGAGTCTAGCCAGGGGGAAAGTCTAGGGCATCACTGGGATAGGATCCAAACGGTTAGCAGTGTATGAGCAAGAGAAGTGAAATGCTGCAAGAAAGAAGGTGAGTGACAGGATCATCAGTAGAGACAGCAAAAAGCTCATCATCAAAGTTATTAACAGTACAGAGGACAAAACCAATATTGCACAAATTTTGACGCTAGTGAACTTGGCTGTAAATATTCTGAAATACGAAAGTCAAGAAGTGTTTATTTCCCTCTGAAATAATGTTTTTGGAAAGCTGCATATAAAACAGTAACTTTTCTTAAAGCATGATTAGTGGTACCTGTGAAATCAGAGGAATGACATAAGATTTGAGCAAAAATCACCTCTGTTACAAATTGAAGGTTACGACTGGAACACACTCTGCATAATCTGTGATGACAAAGAGATTGGACAAGATGCCCTCCAGAGGTCCTTTCTAACCTCAACCATTCTGTGATAAATATGAAAAAAAGCACAAAATGCCTTTTTCAGACAAGGGAATATATGAGTTCTGTTGAAATCACTCCAAGGCCATTTGTCTCTGCTACTAATGGAGTGAGTCTCATGAAAATAATGAATGGTCTTTACAGGCAGTGCAAAACATTCTTGGCCATTGACATTATATAAAGCTACAGAAACACAGAACAAATTTACTGTGAGACACTGGGACAGGTTGCCCAGAGAAGTTGTGTTTGTCTCCTTCCTGGAAGTGTTCAAGGCCAGGTTGGATGGGGCTTTAAGCAACTTGGTTTAGTGGAAGGTGTCCCTGCCCGTGGCAGGGAAGTTGGAACTGAATGATCTTGAAGGTCCCTTTGAACCCAAACCATGATTCTATGAAATACAGTGTTTAATGCTTAACGGACTGCTTGTTTTTACATATGTAAGAATGGGTATCCAGTTTTGCAGTCCCAGTTCTCCTTGTCTGTGTCCTAAAAGGCCTTGAACTCCAGTCCCAGGAATGCAACCTCACCACGCAGTTCCCACACTCACATTCTTGTTTTCTCAGTTCCCGTTTGCTGCAGAGCAGGGTTGATTCCTGATCTACAAAGCAAAAAGTCTAATACAATTTGCCACATAAAAGACTTCCCTAAAGTCCATTTCACGTGCAATCCTAAATATCAAAATCCAAACTAATTTAGAAATCCTCCAAGCAGAAGTGATTTTCCTTGCCGTTAGTAGGCACTTTTATGTTTCCCTGACGCAGATGTTTTAAACTGAAGAGCTTTGAGTATCTCTTACCATTGATAATATCTGTCAGACTGTGAAACTTCTTTTCATAATGCTTATCTGTCATCATATATGTAATTTCAAAATCCCGGTATAGAATTTTAATACAAGTAATTACAGCTTGGTTGTTAAATCAGAACATCTCAATTAAATGGGTACTGTTTTACTGTAATTGATCCATCTTTACAATAAATCAATGAAATCAAATACAGCAATCGCAGGTTCTGAAGAGTCAAACAGATACGTGCAATAGGTGTATTACTGTTTAGTCACTGTTATCCTGAAAGATAATTATTATTTTAAATTGTTTTGTGTGGTTTGAAATGCTATTAAGTGTCAAAATCTAGTCTCCCAGGTGATATGTGTCATATCCTTACATACCCCACCACTGTTGAAATTTTCAGTTACAGACTAGCACACTGCATATTTGTCAGTAAAATTTATTGTTGGACTCTTACAGGGGGATCCAGGAGAAAAAGGGCCCCCAGGTCCTCCTGGAGCTGTTGGAACTCCACTGCTTCCTATAAAAGGTTATAACTAGTTGTAACTAGTCTTTCTGCTGTATAAAGTGTGTAGGAACTGTTTTGCCAAGGTGTTTCAAAGTGATCATTAGGGATTCAGGGGACAGGATCCGAAAACATTATCCTCCTAGTGGCCACATTCTGTGTTTGTTTTTGTCTCACTGCTCTTACTGGAAGTATGTTAAACATACAAGTTTTAGATTAAATGAAAGATCTTTATGCATACAGTCACAGCTAGATCTGCAGGACTGTCCCTAGTTATTTGGCCTAAGCATATTTAAGAAAAAGCTATGAAAACTAAGCCCTTGTTGGATAATGGATGGCAAATAAGAAAACCAGCCTTCCTATTGTAATTCAAAACTCCTTTTTTTCAGAATTGCCAAAGCACATAGATTTTTAGACAATGATTAAACTTCCTACTGCATAGCAGGGGTGAAATCCTGGAACTAGTACTCCCAACAGAATACCTGTCAATCTTTGTATGTTCCTACTAAACCTCAAGCTGGGTTTTTATGTCCTACCTCCCTTTATCTACATCATCATTTAATTGGTGAAAAGGTGTCTGTGAGTTCTTATTTCATAGCAGGAGGCAGTGGCGAACAGCCAAGTCTGCTGCCTGGAAGGAATTTGCTTTGGATTTTCACACTTAGGGGAACCTGTGTCATAAGAACATTTTAAACAGAGAACTTACCATAAATTGTATTTCTAGTGCCGTAAATGCTGATCATGAACACAGAAGTAAGTTTCAAAACAACCTCCCTGTTAGATAGTGGCCTCATCCAAAAATCAATTAAATTTGTTTTCCATCATCTTCTATGTGTTTCCAGCCCACACAATGAAACACAACGGCATGCTTAATATCTCAAGTAACATTTAATCGGTGCATGGTGTGTGAATGTATATATTCTTCAGAGAATGAGGCCTTTAGCAGAATTGTTGGAAAACTGAACTACTACCAATATTTCGTTTTTCCAGTTTAATGAAGCCCTTTATATTTGGGTTTTCTTAATCACTGTGTATTTATTCATTATAGCAATTTTGAAATAAACTTTTAAAAATTTGGATAATTTCAACTAGGATTATCCTAAAATGACCTCCCTGTGTATGCTGTCGAATGTGCATAACATGAGGTGCACATTTATTTTAAATGCAAAATGTATTTATTTTGGACAAACACTTCTCTCAGCATTCTGAAATATGTAGCACAGAGATAGTGCTATGGCGTGATGAAGAATTAAAACTGTGCCCACGAAATGGACAGGAATCCGTAGAAAAGTCACCAAATCCTCCCACCTTAAAATTAAATTGTTACACATTTTTAAATGTTTCATAAAGACAAAAGAAGTTACTGTGGTTTATTTTTTGTTGTTCCTAAATTATCATTTTCATTGCGGTTTAGATTTAAGCTGTAAATTGCATAAGGTATTCAAATTCACATGTTTTTATAATTCTGTGTAGGTCCACGAGGAGATCCTGGATTTCCGGGTCCTGCTGGTGATATGGGGTCAGTTGGACCAATCGGTCCTGCAGGCCTGCTAGGAAGACCAGGAGATGATGGAACAAGTAAGAGAAGTAGGGGATAAAGTGTGAACTATGTACCAGTAGGAGAGAAAACAGCTAAAAGAAAACAGTTCTTTGTTCTTGCTTGGTGTAAGTCACCAGCAGTAAGGATTTAAGCTCTACAGAGAGTTCAATAAAAATATTAGCTCAGCACTTAGTGGCCAAAAATGAACCAAAATGATCCACATACAACATTAGGAATTACTAGAAACAGGACAGAAGACAGAGCAGAATGCTACCATGCACTGTAAATCCATCGTATGCCTGTAACTGGAACGCTCAAAAATTCCATTCTCCATCTCAAGAAGAAATAAAGGAAGGTGATGAGGATGACTTTGCTCTGTATAAGGAACTAGAATAACTGGGCTGTCTGGAAAAGAGATAATGGGGAGAAGGAAAAGAAGCATTTGAAGGTCTAAAGCAGGAGCATCTTTATCTGGGAATCCTGGAAAACCTAAAGATTTAGATTTAAGTCTTTGTTACACAGAAGCTCTTCTTTGGGACTGTTTTAAATGGTCTGCAGTTTCCTCCTTGTAGTGATTGTTACTATGAAGCTCTATGGGCCAGATACCGTTATTTTCTTTACAGGTCTGCCTGGCCTGCCAGGACTAAGTGGGGCACCAGGACCTCAAGGTTTTCAAGGTGACCCTGGTTTCCCTGGAACAGGTGAATCAATCCCTGGAAGACCTGGATTTCCTGGACCACCAGGCCTACCAGGACAGCGAGGAAGACAAGGCTTACCTGGACTCCCCAGTAGGTTTAACAGCAATTTAAATGGCAAGAATATCATTCTGCCATCATTAATAGATTTATTGCTTTTGTTGGTCCTACAAAAAACACAGAGATGAGAAGTGCATTTTGACAGATACATCAAACTTTACATGCGATGTAGAAAACATATTTTTTCTATTAGCTGTTGATCAGTGAGATGTGAAGTTTTTAATAGTTTTCTGGGTGATTTAAACCATCAAAGTAAACATATGTGAAAAACATCCCTAGAAATATATCACCTGAAGCTAAAAACAGCAAACTGGGGAGGAAACCTAAATCAGCATCGTTTAGTAAAGACACTAGTCAAAATTCTACAGTCGAAAAAGGAAGAAGTGGTGGCAATAAAAAAACATTGTGTCAACACCAACTCTAACCAGACTGACTCTTGTAGTATTATCTATAAGCAATGACTTACAAAGCATTTCATAAGATCTCTAGCTTTTCATATGAGGATATCAAGATAAGGGAGAGGAGAATATGCGACCTAAGCTGTGGAAACTGTCAGCCTGATTTATAGTAGCTGTAAAATCTGTTTTTACAAAGGTGTAATCTGTACTGACAGAGGGATCCCTGGAGAACCTGGAGCAAAAGGTCAGATAGGCCTTCCGGGAAGAAAAGGTGAAAAAGGAGAAAAGGGTAAGTAAGCCTCCATAGCAACAATCCAAATATGAGACCTTTGCCAGATACATCAGATGTAAGTTTGTAAGAAGTTTACAGTAAGGTCCATCAAAGTGTGGAGTTAAATGGCTTTTTGGCATTGGGGCTTCCAAATTAGTAGAGTCATGTCAGTGCAGCAGTTATTCAGCACTGTAGAGACTGATATGCTTCACTCCTTTGAAGGCCATAGTGAGATAGAATGGTCTGTGCACTACTCGCCCAGAGAAGAGAAAGGGCAGTGTCTTTTTGTGTATTAATTTTGCAACTGTTTCAATGTAATTTTGACACATGTAGGAAATCAAGGCCTCTGCTCATGTAGTGCCGGTCCTCCTGGTCCCCGTGGTATGCAAGGACTTCCAGGTACTCAAGGAAAGAAAGGACAAATGGGATACCCTGGAAGACGTGGGGAAAAGGGTGACCCAGGCTTATCTGGTACAGTGGGATCACCAGGGCTCCCTGTGAGTAGTTTTCATAAGCTTCAGTGAATAAATAACATCAAGTCATCACTTAGATCTGACATTTTAACAAATAGTCACTGCTAGTTTCAGATACACTACATTTTTCAGAAGTCTCCTGTCTATTTTACAATTGTCATGACTTAAAATCACTTTATAAATTGTATTTTCTCCACCCATTTCTCAGTGAAAAATTTTTGACTAACAGAGAAAAATGGCTAAATAATACCCACATGTACTGTTGCAACATCTGACCCTCACCAATGATGATATGTGGACTGCTCTCTGCTTGAAGAACTGAGAGCACAGATCAGCATAAAAATAGAGAAAAGTACTTCTTTTCCCCTCTAAACCTGTCAAGTCACAGATTCTTATGACAATACCAGGTACATAACTAGGCACAGATGAGATTTTTTTATTGTGGGCTTTCACTCAGGGAAAAAAAAAAAATCACTTACCTACTGCCATGTTCATGTCTGGGAGAACAGCGTCATCCAGCAGTCGCTGCACTCCAAGTATTCAATTCCTGCATAGCCTTAGTGAATTGAGAGTTTCACTCTGAAGTCTGCAGTGAAAAGAGTTCATGAATTGTTTGCATCTTCATATTCTTGCAGTTCCAAGAAGCTTTATACGGCCATGTGCCAAATTCTTCTAAAATTACAATTTTTTATAGTTGTGTATTTGTGCATTTGACAGAGTCAGGCTGAAAAGGCCAGGTACCATTCACACACCCCCTTATAGACATCAAGAGATAAGAATTTCTTTTTGGAATGTTACTTTAATTGATCTGGTTTTGGGAAACAACGCAAGAGCAAGAGATCTCTAATTTTCCCTTCAATCGCCACACTGATTTCTTTGTGGAGATAGCTGACAATTGATTTTTTTCCCTCCTCCAATTGTAAGGGGACACCTGGTTCTGCTGGACAACATGGTGAAAAAGGACAGAAGGGTGATCCAGGAAGAGTTAGAATAAAAGGTAAACACACCTTTTTGTTTGCTATACAATGCCTAGGCAATAGTGTGAGGAAACCATATTAGTTTAGCAAGTTACTGAAGCCTAGAGATCGTGTATATCCAGACTGCTTGCTTGGTACCATCTTAGTCATTTTCTTCTTGCTATACACAAGATCAACTCAGTGTTTTGTGGTTTTTACTCTATAGTTAAGCCATAAAACAGTTGTAACAGCTTGTTATTAATCCTAACAAATTACTTTTCATGTCATGTGATTGATCATAAGGGTCTTACAGAGGACTGTATAGCAAAGACTAAGCAGAATACAATTAGTGTGAAAATCTGAGGAAATACTATTGTACAGAAGCTACATCCTGAATTGTCGTATGCCAGTATCCTGACTGTTACCTCAATTTAAACCATCAACATCTTTCTTGGGAAAAACTCAAGTCTCAATGGCTATTCAGATTCCCGCTCCTGTTTCTAAAAATCACTCCTGACCAGGCATTGAAGAGAAACAATAGGCCATCAGTTGCACTACTGAAATTCTTGTAATTAAATAGATCAAAACCTCTCCACAGTTATGGTTATGATTTGCAAAAGCAAAAGAAAGGAAAAGAAACTGAGAACAACAATTACAGCAATCTGATGGCAAAGCTTAGTTAGAAATTCTAAACTAGTTACCCAGACAAAAGATTGTCCATCGCATTGTCTGTGAAAATTTAGTTTAGCTTTGGATGCCTGTGTTTGTTTACAGATGTCGGAGCAGGACAAAACGTTTGCTGTTTATTTGCAAAGGACTTCTTGACTGAGAAAAATGACTCTTTGGGTTACAATAGTTTTATTGTCCTGTATGCTAAAATTACACTTTCCTAAATATCAGTGCAAGAGAAATCTAGGAGTAAAAAACAGGAAAAAAGAAAAGCTTTTTGTGAATCTTGGTGTAAATATTCTACATTGTATGGAATTGATATATCCAGATTTCACTGAAACCAAGAATAAAATCTGATTTCAACAAGAAAATATTTTCATTCTGTATATAGCATGAATAAAAGCCACATTCTTGTGTTGCCTGTAAACACGACTTTTACAGAGAGACCAAGTTGTTCAATGAGGTGTCCAACTACATACTGCCTTCCTAAGCCTAAAATACCTCATTTAAGGAACTGGAAGTTATCATACAGATACAATGAATGGTTACCCAGCATTTACCTGAGCAGAAATAAAAAACCTCAAAACTTACTGTAAATACTACCCTTTTTTTCCCCCCCCCAAATTGTTTTAAGGAATAAAAGGTGAAAGAGGTCCTACTGGTGTTCCAGGATTTCCAGGCCAAAGAGGTAATGATGGCAGAGATGGGGAACTAGGATTGCCTGGGGAAAAAGGAGCTGAGGTACATTTGACTTTCTCAGAATTTTTTTCCACTTAACATATTGTCTTATGAAAGTACCATTTTATTCCAAATTACTCGCAGATTAATAATTTTTAGCATTTTATGTTAGCCTAGATAAAAAATAATAGCATTTATCCATTGAAAAATTATTACCGTGGAAGTATTACTGTTCATTGTGGTATTCCTGAATATTATTTCTGCATATACTGTGTGCCGGTATTAGAGGATCAGGAAGGAAAAAAACCAAAAATCGCAAAAATCTACCCTTTGTTCCTATTGCTTTTTCAGTATTTAAAACTACTAATATAATCCACATAGTCACTCAGCTGTGGAAGAGAGGGGCTGGCCAGATAATTCTCCAATGTGGCTTTTGATAATCAAAGAGCGGAAAGAAATTCCATCTTGTTATTTCTTATCAACAGTTTCTTTCTTTTAGGGTGATTCTGGAGTACCACTGCCAGGTGATAAAGGATTCCATGGGCTCCCAGGACTTCCTGGGGTAAAAGGACAGATGGGATTGCCTGGTTTGGGGTTGCCTGGCCCTCCAGGAGTCAGAGGTAGCCCTGGAGACTTTGGTGATACTGGTTATGTTGGGCCACCTGGTCCAAAGGGCCAGAAAGGTAATTTTGAATTAAGAGCCAAATAACAAAATACGTGTTTGGTAGCATCCATTACAGTTTCATATGTATGATATACAGTGTTACTCATTTATCGTGAAAATCAGTTTTGGCAAGCTCAGTGGTCATATGAAGTACAGCCATATATGAAATACTGTCAGCATTTAGCAGCAGACACTGAATTGCTAGGGGCCTTGAACCTGCAAAGTGCCACTTGCACACTATGGGAGGAATTATTTGCTGGAGTGAAAAGTATTCCTGAGTGTATGGACTTGGAAGGCAATGCTTTTTTTTTTTCCTGAAGGAGCAGAAAAATACAACTAATAGAATCATAGTTTGGGTTGGAAGTAACCTTAAAGATGCTCTAGTTCCAAACCCCTGCCATGGGCAGGGACACCTCCCACCAGACCAGATTGCTCCAAGCCCTGTTCAACCTGACCTTGAACCCTTCCAGGGAGGGGGCATCCACAACTTCCCTTACTTAAGGCTTGGTCAGTTTTTTGGCTATAAAAAATCCCTACCAAATAAAATAGTCTACACTGATAGCAATATGTATGAACCAGAAATGTACATGGAATCAAGATGAAAATATTATTTCTTTCTTGCAACAGAGACTGTTGTAAAGAAATTTTTGCAGCAAGTAAAAAAGAAACCAACAAACTTTGTCTTTACAGAATACAAATGTATTACAACAATTTGAAGCATTACCAATATTCTATACAAAATAAGTGTCAAGAAAAACATATCCTAAGATTCTCCATCAAACTTTCATCAAGTAATAGGGAAGCAACTGTGTGTGCATAAACAGTCCCTTCTCTTTACCTTTGCACATCTATTTGGTTAGTTCCACAGAAATACTACAGTAAATGTTCAGACACCATTTATTCTAAAATCAAGGGGTCAGTTTCTTTCTCTCTTGCTTTAGGTGAGACTGTCTGCATTACATTACCATACCCTGGAAATCCAGGTCCCCCAGGTTTTAAAGGTGCTCAAGGTATGTTTACAGATGTGAGAACTTTTGGTTTTAATTGGAGTTTAAGTGGAGTTTTAAGTTGCTAATTAAAAAAGCAGCTGTCCTAATAAGTTACACTATTCTAGTTTTTCAACAGATACATGTCACAAAATGTAAAACTGCAAATACACAGGAATATACTTATCTAATATAATCAAGGGCCACACAGCTGCAGTTTGCATGATCAGAAGGTGTGCAGGCTGCCTCCCTAGAAATTACTAAATGAAGGTAGCTTGAAACTCTGTCCTGCTTCAGTTAAAATGCATGAGAGAGTCTGTAAAGTACACAGATGGCTGGAGTCAGACAAGACCTAGAATATGTACATCTGGATACTGGGGGAAGAAAGATGTGTGAGGCAAAGATATGTTGAAACTCTGTAATTTCTAGAACTATATTATTCATGGCAAGTTGCAACTGAGCCCTAAAATCTGAATATTACCATTACTTCAACTTGTTGAACTTAATTTAAATTCAAAGAACTCCTTCAGCAATGCACAAAATGTTGCTTGAGATCACCTCCAAAACACCTGAAATATCTCAGAAAATCCCGACCAGAACAAATGAAGATACTGGATTTTTAAGCTGCTTAATACGGTATTACACAGCTCCCTGACATCAGTATTGCGGGTGTTAGCTAAAATTTATACAGACATGGAAGAACTGGGATTAGCATATTAAGCTCACCTGCACCATTCAGAAGCAGCAGATAACATAGGAGAAGATGAGAATTTGAGTTGATACCTGTCATTCAGTTGGTTAATATTGTTGATGTCCTGTAACATGTTACAGGAAATTTTCTTTTGTTTTCTAACTTACTCTGGTGATTTGTAGTCCGCTGTTTATGGATGAGGAAACAAGTCCATTAAGAAAAATAGAAACCATGCATTTGGTTGTGACTTGGATGGTGACTCTTTTCCAAAATGTTAGAAGCAGATGAAATCCACTTGTCTTCAAAGTACATAAATTTGCATGGGATAAAGATCCAGTACTGTTTCCTTAGATCACACATTTTAGAGCTCTGCCAGTTTTTTACTTATTTTCTTTTTGTTTCCAGGACTAAAGGGTTTAAAAGGACTCCGTGGTCATCCTGGACCAAATGGCTTTGACGGGCAAAAAGGCCGTCGAGGCAGGCCAGGAGCAGGAATCCCTGGGCCAGAAGGTGAACCATGCTTTTTCTTAATCCAGGAGCCCTGCTAGTCAAGCTGTAACGCATAAATGCAGGGTAAGGTAGCTACCGTGGTAGAACAGGATAGGAGGGACATTTCAATTACAGGTAATGGGAGAGGTATATTTACCAGTTTCCCTTTCTTTCCTCCAGCATTGCAAGTGCTGCAGTAGTCTAAAGTTCAGTGTCCAAAGAGTAAATATTCTCAGGAAAGTGAGAACAAGTAGTATTGTTTCAGCAAAGGGATTGAGCTGGACAAGAGCGACAGTACAGAAGATGGATGCTGCCCCAAAGAAAACCACTATCACTTCACACAGGAATAACTACCTTTCAGTCCTCATGTGTCATTAGCAGTAATTTAATGTATGACATTATTTTTCTTTGCAAAGTGATAATTTAATTCTGGTTAAATTTGCACTATAATTCACAGTTTTGGAAAAACAAAACAAACCCAACCAACTTCTGAATTATGCCTTATTTGAATTTACAAATCATTTCAACAGGCTTTCGAGGCAAAGCTGGTGATCCTGGTGATGAAGGTGAAAGAGGACCTACAGTTGATGGTAAAAATGGCCCTCCAGGTCCACCTGGCATAGATGGTCAGAAAGGTATTCCAGGTGATACCACATATGGTCCTCCAGGAATCCCAGGCAACAGGGGACTGCCAGGACCCGCTGGTGCACAAGGAGCAAGGGGTGATCCGGGCATTCCT